AGGTCAAAGAATTATTATGAATATCATTCAACAGAATCAGGAGCTGTTGTAGGGAAGATCTGCCTGGTAAAAAACCGAATTGTGACATAGAAAAGGAAGGATACAAAAAATCCAATAATTGATCGTAAACCAGTTTTTCCAGAACTTTTGACACTGTATTAAGGAGAGAGATTGGCCTATAGTTCCTTACTGAGGTTTTATCCCCGGACTTAAAGATAGGAGTGATGTTGTGAACTTTCCAGTCCGAAGGAAAGCAAGCAGACTTCAGAGACTCACAAAAAAGATGGCAAAGTGGAGTACACAGAGGAGTTGCACAATGCTTTAGCACTGCAGGACTGATGCCATCAATACCCATGGCCTTTGTTGGATTTAACTCAGATAGCACCTTGAAGGTATCACCAACAGAAACAATAATATCAGTGATGTTAGGAGAGGCTTCGTTGTCTGGTGGGGAGTGACAGGTTGAGGCAGAGGAGTACACAGAGTGAAAATACGTGTTAAACAGTTCAGCTTTCTCTGTATTAGAAGAAGCAGATATAGAGTCCAGGAAGACACAAGGTGGCAAGAGATCCTGCTTTTTGAGGGAGCGAATATGAGAATAAATGCCTGACTGACCACTCTTAGAAACAAGGTCAGTAATATACTGGGACTTTGTTTTAGCAACATCAAAATCCAACTTGACACGAGATAGAGACACCTTGTCTGACAAGTGAGGAGTTGAATGGGACCTTAGTCTTCTAACTAAAGTCCTGTGACAGTTAACTTTATGTCAAAGCTCACTATTAAACCATTTTGGCAGGTGAGAAAATCTACGTGTAGGAGAGCAAAAAGGAACAAACTTGGAGATTGCAGAATGAATAGCTAGTTCAATTTGAGACCATACATGCAGATGACATTTACATCAGATGAATCCAAGCACTCGCTGAAATCCCAATCCAACAGGAATTCACACATGGCATCATAATTTGCTTTGGTAAAGTTAAAGCACTTATCAGTAGTAGACAAATGGACTTTAGGTAATAGAGCTCTAATGTTAAAGGAGATAGGGAAGTGATCGGAGAACTTGAAAAGAGAACTATCAACACAGATGTTAGATAAGCACTCTGGCTTGTTAGTAATTACAAGGTCAAGAATATGACCCTTAGAGTGGGTGGGAACATCAATCATTTGAGACAAATCGAGATTAAATAATAAATCACATAACTTAGTGGAAAAAGAAGAAGAGGAGGATAGTAAATTCCAATTAACATCAGGGCAGTTAAAGTCACCTGTAACAAAGATTGGACACGTGTGAGAAGAGAAGAGAGAATGTAGATCGGATAACAGAGAACAGCAGCTTGAATCAGAGGCAGAAGGGGAGATATAAACCGAGCACAAAATAATGAGAATAGGCGAAATAATCTTAACTGAAACAATATCAGGATTAGTATGAGCAAAAATAAGACTAGTGGGAATATTAGATGAGACTGCCAGAAGTGACCCACCACCTCTACTGGGACGGCAGCACGAAATAGAGAGTAACCAGTTGGTAAAATCTCATTATCAAAAATATGGCTAGTTAACCAGGTCTCAGACACAGAAATAAAGGAGGGACGAGTAGAGTAAACAAGGGAATGGAATGCATCTAATTTTTTGACTAGACTTCTGAAGTTCAAGTAGAGCAGGGATAGTCAATCATCACCTGGCAGAGATGATTGATCAGACTGAGAAAGGGACTCATCACCAGGGGAGCTCGTAGGTACATGCTCAATCTCAGGTGAACCAGAGTTAGAAGAGTTACCAGATGTAAGGTTTCCATCGGAATTATTATGAGTACTAGTAGGGGCCAGAACAAAAACTCCAGAACAAACAGAACCATGTAACCTGCCATCAACAAATAACTTATTACCACAAAACTTAATAGACCTCTTAACCACATTCTCCTCAGTTATCAGACGGTATCGCTCCTTCAGTAAAACTGAGTTGATCTGCCGATTCTCTTTAGAGAGGTCCCATTTCACAACCACACCAGATTGGAGAGGTTTAGCCAAAACAGTATGTACCGACCTAGTATCAGAAAACCTAGCTAAAACAGGTCTTGGGCTATGGGCATCAGCTCTAAAACGGCCAAGGCGAACACAATCCTGAACTTTGGGCACAACAGAGGAGTCTATAGCAGCATACACAGCATCAAAATCATGCTTCAGACGGTCAGTAAAAGAGGTACTAGCAGGTGATTCAGGAATATTATGAAACACTAGATTAAATTTCCTGGTGGAGTGATTTGATGACAGGTGTGTACGAGAGAAACTATCTGGGGGCCATGATAGGCCACCATTGCCACTATTAGTGATGGGTAAGCCAGGGGAAGAGATGCCTCTAGTACCATTCGACAGGGCAGAGGAATGAGCAGAAGCCACCTGAGTGTTGAGTCTATCGAAGAGATCATCCACCTGAGTTTGGAGAGTAGAGATCTTTTCCTCAGCTCTTTGTAGACGACATTTCACACAACAGAAAGGAACAGAGTAGCCAGAAAGAAGGTCATATTCCGACTTGGAAAGCCCTGCACAACAGCGGTGAAGCCAAGCTTGACAAGTCCCTTCACACTGTATGGATTCCTCACCAGATTTATGGGTGAAGCGTTTCTCACACACAGGACAAAAAGGGATTGAAGAGTGGGGTTGCTGGTTCACTTGGGTTGAGGACGCAGAAGCTACATTAGAGGGGACAGGCAAGGCCGATACAGCTCGAGAAAGAGCTACAGGATCACATTTCCCCAGTCTCAAGACTAAGTCATTCTTGTTACCTTTAGTGTCAACAGAAAGTTGTTTAGCGACTTGCTTGAGATCCTGAAGTTTGCACTTCTTGAGATCAGTCACGGCTGACTCTGCTTTACCTGATGACATGACAGATAATTGATATGGCTGGTCCCAATTGTGGTAGACCCTGGGTGAAAACAGTAGTCACTCTAAACTGAGTAGCCCAGCTGGAACTCAGTTCTTAGTCCACACTAGATATACTGATTTAGTGGCCGGTTAGTCCCTTAGACCAGATCACTATAGATATACAGAGAATAACTGCAAGAAATGGAGGACTAACCACGTTAGTGGCCGGTATTAAAATGAATTAAACCGGCAAATGGACTATTCAAAAAGTGAAGGAGGTCTGTGTGGACCGTGACAGTGGTGGAGAACACGTGGTCCAGTGAAGAATGAGATACGGCTACAAAATGGTGAAACAGAGAAAACTACTGAACAATAAGTCAAAAACCTGGTTTAGTGGCCGGTTTTGAGATAACAAGAACCGGCGTATAAGCAAAGAAGAACAGGATAGTACAGAGCTCAGAAGTAAGTAGCCATTTACAAGCCACGCCTAGATCTCTATATACATATAGACCTGAATATGGCTACTTGATGAGCATAGCTTCTTATTTTCCTAATGTTCTACTGATGGCTTTAACAGCTACTGCCACACCAGCAATACAAGTAAACGTTATAACACCCCACTAGGGATACAAATGCAATGCATCCCGTAGGGGGGTGTTATCAACATATTTGTATAATGCTTAGTGGGCGTATCAACGGAGCACGCCCAACGTAGGCTATGCATACGCATAAGGTACCACATGACACAAGCAAGCAACTTGAAGCAAGATGGCTGGAGTAGAGGAGAAGGACTTGGAGGAACACCAGGAGGAACCTGAGCGGAAGAAGAAGTGACTCTCTTTGTCGTTACAAAGTAACAATAGATTTAACTTTATCGTTGAAGATTCAGAGCTATCTGAAGCCATAAAGGGGAATACAGTGAAAAATATTGCCGCAAACAATAAGTGGGCGCTCAATAATTTCTCTCAGTGGTACACAGAGAGACAGAAGAAGTTACCCCTCTCAAATCAACTGGATCCCGAACTGCTCAACATGTTGCTAACTGATAATCACGAGGAGCTCTGTAAAGTCTTGTCTTCATTTGTTATGGAAACGTGCAAGGAGGACGGCAAGGAATATACTCCTAAGTCAATTTATTTAATGATTGCTGGTCTTCAACGTGCAATGAGGCAACATAAAGGTCGTTCTTCATCATTTAATATTTTCAGTGACAGTCGTTTTGAATTATTTCATAACATTTGTGATCACAAATTTCGTACACTTCATCAACAAGGTATTGGTGCAAAGTCAAAGCATGCCAATGCTCTTACTGATGAAGAAGCAAAGCTTTGGGAATGCAATATACTCAATTTGACTACTCCTGAAGAAAATTACGTTTTTTTTTCTATAATAGCAAGTATCTGTGTTTGAGAGGAGGCAATGAACATCGCCTTCTTCGTTTTTCTCAATTTATTCGTGAAACTGCAACAGCTGATGGCAAAGAAAGAGCATGTTACATATACACAGAACAAGGGTCAAAAAATCACAGTGGAGGAATGGGTCAATTGCATCTTGATAACAAAGTTGTGCATCACTTTGAGGTTCCGGAGGAAGGCTCTCGAGATTATGTTCATATACTTGACCAGTACTTTGAGAAAGTTCCTAGAGAAGCTATAGAAAAAGATAACTTCTATGTACGCTCATTATCAAGTATAGTCGAAGGAAAGCCCTGGTTTAATTCTGTTCCAATTGGAAAGAATAAGTTATCTTCAATGGTTAAGGATATGTGTGCTGCTGGGAGCATTGACAGCAATAAAACAAACCATAGTCTTCGATCATTTGGTGTAACGACAATGTTTAAGAAAAGCGTACCTCAGAAATTGATTCAGGAGAGGTCTGGCCATCGATCGTTAACCGCATTAAGAGTATATGAAAAGAGTAAAAATGAACAGTTACTAGAAACATCTCGACTGCTATGTGATGGTGATGTCAAAGATGACGATAGAAACGAGGATGAAAGCAAAGATGGTCCTAAAGTGAACCCGGCTATGTTCAGTGGATGCTCCTTCAGCAATTGCACATTTAAACTTGATTAACAATTTTGACATTCAAAGCAAAGCAACTATTTATTCAATCATTTATTCATGTATTCAATCAATAATTCAGTCTCATGTATTACTGTTAACTAAGGCTGCAACAATTAATCGTTTAATCGATTAATCGATTCCTGTGTGGCTAATCGATTACGTTTTTTAGCACACAGTAATTGCCATAATTATTGTTTTTATAACTATATTAACATGCATTAATTAATTAAATTAATATAATAATTATTACGTCATAATAGACGCATGTGTAAAATGGCAGAGGAAGGCTGTTCTCAATCTCATTCACGTTCTTCTACAAGTTCTACTGCTTCAAGCTCTCAACAGTCTCAAG